TTCTTGCGGACGAAGAGCACTGGCGCGGCATGAGCCAATGAAGACGGCCTAATGAAGCCGGTTGCCAGGTGCTCGTCTAGGAATGCTCGAAGAGCCTCAAGTTCGGTCGGGGATAGGGAATACAGTGTTCCCAACGGGGGGTGCGCACCTTCCTCTAGCTTGATCTTCAGGTCGAACTCACGATGTGGCACCAGAGTGTTAGCCTTGCTTTTGCTAAACACATCGGCGAATTCATGATAGACCTTCGGTACGGCTTCGAGGTCGGCGGGCTCGAACAAGGTGGATGAGTGCAGCTCGCTCACTTGGGACGGGATGCTCAGGCTGAAGGTTACAGAACCTTCTAGTCGGGCAGTGCGGACAAATGCCGCAGGGCTGACTAACTCGATCAAAGGAGCCTGGCGGACAGGATTACTCGGTGTGTCTTTGGATACGGGAACCGATGTGTCTGCTGGAGGAACATCATTCGGCAATGGTTCAGGAGAGCTCTGGGAGATCGGACTGGATTGTTCAGACGTCTGGAAAGTTAAACTGCTCTTTACCCAGTCAATCAACGGATTGTATCGGGCGAGCCAGTTATGTCCAAGGACGATAGCACAAGAGCCATCCAATGGGGTGACAAAGAATGTCATCGGGGTAACATCACCGGTAATAAAACGGACGGGGAGATCAACGGCACGGGTTATCACATTGTTTGTGGTGCCGTCGAATAAGCGGAGCTGCATAGGGGTCACGGTATAGGTCGGGATCTTTATTTTATTAATTAATTCTGTATCAATAAAACAGTCAGAGGAACCTGAATCTATAAGAGCGGAGAAAACAACGGAGGGATCACATTTCTCTGGAGAAAGTAGACCATCAGGAGAGAACATTTGCGAATGGGAGACAGAAGTCCCGGAAGTGGAAAACATAGGAGAGCCAGGGGCATTCCCCCTTGAACTAGGAAATCGACCATCAATGGAACAAAAGGAAACCGGGACAGAGAAAGAATTGGGGCTGGAGAGGGCGGACACGTTCAGGCGCACCTCCCTCTGCGCACGAACCGGTTGACCACAACCGTCCGATCGTGCGTGGTCCGGATGGTTGCCAGCTAATTTTTTTGGGTCAGACGACGAGTCTGACTCCGGTTCAGGCGTTGCCACCTTGGCTGCCCTAGCCTTGGAAGCGCTAGAGCCAGCCTTGTAGCAATCCTTAGCTACATGACCGGCCTTTCCGCAGAACATACAGAGCTTATTATCGAAGCGGCGTTGGCGCTCTTCCTTCGTGAGTCTGCCATTTTTGTCGAGTTTTGCGGTGAGGTCGGGTTTTGGTTTGCCGTTGGACTCCTTGTCCTTTGGCGTTTTGTTACTAGGGTTAGGTGGGGGGTCGGAAGGGCATTGGTGTTTTGCGGGAGAGGATTTAGGCGGCGATTTGTAGTTAGCATTGTGAGCAGGCTTGTTGCACCGCTCGGTCTGGACCTTACGTTCCCAGTAGCAGCCATCGATATCTTCGGCTAGGTCTCGTAAGTTGTATAACGACGTGGGCTTACCGAAACGAGTGATCTCGTCCTTAATTCGATCCGGTAATCCGCGATAGAACATGGCGCGGAGTGCCCCTTCGCCGAAATTATCCAATTTGCCCGCATAGCGGTTGAATTCGATCACATATTTACCAACTTGCTGCCCATCCTTCATCGTGAGGTTGAATAACAACTCTTTGGCCTCGCCAATAGGGTCGTGCGGGCCGAAGTTGCGCTCTAACTCATGCACAAACCTTTCCCAGTCGTTCATCCAACGTGGTTCTCGACCTAGGCGATGACGGCGGAGGAGGTCAGGCTCAAATAAGTTGAGGGCCAGCCCTTTTAGGTATGACACCGCATACAACACCTTGTCAGATTCGTCGGGGAAGGCGTAGGCTCGAGTTTTGAAATTCACTTCGCATTGAATGAAGAACGTGCGGAGTTTTTTAGGGTCTGATCCGTCGAACTGGTCGGGTTCGCGGACTTTTTTACGGGGGGGTTCGCGGCGTGGAGGCAGAGGAGGTGGTGCTGGTGGCGGAGGTGTAGGGATGATCAGGCTGTCAGGGGACGACTCCCGGGTCCCCATGACCCTCCCCTATGGTCCACAGCCTGACCTATGAACAGCCCTATCCAGGGCAACAACTACTGTGGGTAAGGAGATGAGAAGGAAGCTAACTTCTCATCTTCCCACAGTGGCCACAATATCAGCAAAACTTCCGGGGATACCCGGAAGTCACATGAAGGGGTAGGAACCGGGTCCGGAGCATGCGGCACGCGGAGTGTGTGCGCGTGCAGGAAGCGCGGCAGGTGGAAGCGGGTCCGGACGCGGGTCCGGGTCCGGGCTAGTCAGGGTGTGTGCCCTGACACAGGCGGATGCTGCGGGTAGTGCGGGTTAGTTCCGAAATTGCTCTGGTGAGCATGAAGTTGACTTTATCCTTCAGATCGACTTCCTTGGGATTGATTTCCTCGATGTCATCCTCACCATTGTCTTCAGTAGCCGCAGCGGCTGCTTCAGCTGCAGCGCCTGAAGTCCTTCTCTCAGTCACCGGCGGTGGCGGAGCCTGAGCTGTTTCATCGCCCTTGTTACCATCCCTGAAGTCGTCATCCAAGTCGCTTTTGCTAGCGTCTCAGCGTCGCCTTCTCGGGGTTGAGGAGCGTGGGTAGTACTCATCGCCCGCCGTAAAGCTCTCAAATTGTCTCTCCTCTGTCCTACCTCTTTCAAACGGCGTACTAGAGCTGTAGTCTCTATAAGGCGTCGTAGAAGGTCCTGCTGCAGCGTTCCTGCTCTGCGAGCGAGTCATACGTTGTGACATCATAAGGGCATCAAGAGCAATAGGGAGTTCGAAATACTGTCAGAACCGTGCGAATCTTCGCCGATGGTAGCCGTAGGTGACTGAGTGTTGCCCGCTAGTGGAATAGGCGTCCTACACATGACCGAGCTTTAGCGAGGAATAAACCCCACTGATCTCGAGGCCGAGGCTACTTAGGCGAGTGAGCTGGGATTTCGGCTTCAACGACTCGAGGAGGAGCGTTGCGCCTCGTTCTCGACGCGGTCCCGATACTTCAGAAAGTCGGAGGTCTCATGGGGGACAGAGGTAAGCTTAGGGGGTGAATTCTAGTTGATTTCGAACTACAGTACAAGCATTAGTTACAAGCTGTATATAAGCGCTAGGAAACTGAATAGGGAATAAGTCGCCAGATCTCGCGGAGATTGTGGGCGGAGAAAAGAAGGAGGAAAACAAACAAAGAGCATGTGTTCAAGACAGCGAAGGTCAAGCGTGACCTTCGCCGCGAGGTAACAAGGTGCGGCGAAACATGGGACAACAGGTCGCGGCGCTCTGCGCCACTAGGTCGTTCAACGACAATCAAGAGAGGGGTTGTGGAGAGGTGGCGGGAAGTGGTTAGACGGCGACAGGCAGCGAGCGGAGTGTGCGGGGAGTGTTCGGGCATGGGAGAGGGTCAGGGAGGAGGTCGTCTGGCCCTGGGGAACGCCGGGTCGTGACAGGAACCCGGAGCACAAGTTGGACTGAATGGTTCCATGGGAGCCTGAGAGAATGGCAATTCTGAAGTTGGCTGGCTGACACCATCCTTCATATCCAATTCCTAGTTGAGACCACTGTGATTAGGATTGTTGCTGGGAATTTTGAACTAACTACCATACTTCATCAGAGGAATCTTCAGCCACTTTAGTTGCGAGTTTTGGTGATCTATCATCTTTTGCGACAAGTTCCTCCAAATCTTTAGCCATTTTGGCTGCACCGGAGTTGGAATTTGTGATTAAATCAATATCGTGCTTGGGTTGTTTGCTCCACCACTCATGAAGCATATCCCACCATGGAAATGCCTGCCGGACCTGTTCTGCCAATGCCAAGCATATCAGTAATATGAAGAAGTATGTATAGCACCGAAAAGTGTATACAAAAAAAAAGGGTTTGACACACCGATTTTATTCTCATCCCAGTTCTCATCATCATCCTTCACCCCTTGTCCTGTTACTCAAAGTGATTTCCAATACTTTTGATATGTTTTCTGGAGCCTGAACACAAAGTTAGGCACAAGTGTGAAACAGGAAAGGGAATCCACACATATGTGTTGAGCCGACCCATCACTGAAGTGGCATAGTGGCCAGGTTCTGCTGTGTATGATGTGCACTCTGGCTCATTCTCAACATCAAAGCAAACCTTTGCGATGTTGCGGTAATAAGTAATCTTTGCTACAACCTGGGAAAGGAGTCAGAAAGCAAGAAGAATCTTCTTTGAGCATACTATAGCCAGTTTACCTTCTTGCGGCCTTCCTCCTTGGCCTGGCCTGCGGAGTCGCTGAATATTTTCAGGCGGATGTCAGGATTCTCAGCAAGATGTGTGACAAGGTGGTCTGTCCAACAAGGATTGGCATCCCACTGGACCTTCTGGACTTCCAACTTGACTGGAGTTTCCGTGAGAGAGATCCCTGCAGAGCGGCGGCGCTTCGGAGTAGACTCGGCAGGGTGAGAGTGATCTCCCTGAACCCGCTTTGGAGGCATAAGGTGCTGATAGCAAGAGCAAAAGATGGGACTAATTCAGTGAAGGAACTGTACAGTCTGCAACGGACATATGGATATTAAGCCCGAGTTCAAGTTTGGAGTTTAGACTACTCTAAAGTACAGCTTTGGCCTTCGGAGGCACGTTCTCAAGTTTAGCTAAACTGACAGTTTAGAACCGGTTTAGGTGCAGTTTAGGATCAGCAGTTTTGATGCACTTTAGCCCATCGTGAAACCCCCTATTGCATGGTCGGATATCGGCCGCCAACTCTCAATCGCTTGTAAGCCAATCTCACGGCTCAGCCCGTGGCCCTTGAGTCTCACGGTGGGGTCGGGTTTATCACGCTGGCTCCCTACTCATCCTTCACCCCTCAAAGTTTATCTCCGACTCGAACCCTTCCAGCACAACAGATACGGACCTGTCCTCTAAAAAATGCAAGGGAAGCGAATAGAAAAGTCAATCCCTACGAAGTCTTTCGATACCGTGGTGTCCAGACCCCAGATGTTGAAGCGAGGGTGCGCCCCGATATGGTAACGAGGGAAGGGGCGGCACAGTGGGTCTCAGGAACGTTTTTTTTGGTTTGGGGAGCGGTATATCGACATAAGTGCATCGCTATCATTTCATTTCATTGCAATAGAGCCTAAGCGCAATATGGTAGTGTATCATTGCAGGTAAGTTGCTGCCCTCCAGCTGTCATTATGTGATAGTTACCTTGGTTAATTGATGCTGCTGAAGACGATGACCAGCAAAGCACCAACTTCCTTCCGATGCATTGGAAGTGGCAACGCGCGAGCTAGGCCCACTGTGTTGCCAAAGTTTGCAACCTCTCATCATGGACGTCCTTTCGATGTCGCGACGCAACTTGGTAGCACTCCTCATTTTCTCAATGGGTGCTGTCCAAGTTATGGGTTCGGCCGCGATTTTAGTTCATCGCGTTGACATGTTGAGGGCGACACGGACGGCTCCACCTTGCACGACACGCTTTCTCACCATGCTGACAAACATTCACAAATGCATTTGTCGCAAGGCCACAAATAATTTTCTTGTGCAACGTGTAACAGACCATCTTCTCCGGGATTCCCCAAAGACATGATGCCCAACTAATTATTTATGGTGAGCCCATTTTTGATGACGGCGAACCCATAGGCAGGATCCCAGCCTCTACTGAGTGAATCCACTACACCGGATTAAAAGTTTCGACTTGGCATGAGACCATTACTGAATAAGAGCACCGGAGGCCGAGTTCTATCATGCAGACGGAGTCATCTGTACTGCAACTAGATCATTACGGGCGAAAATAAGCTTGTCTGTCAGGAGTATAGCGGGCCACTGATGAGTCTGCATGGTTGAGTAGGGTAGAAGGCATGTATGTGGATGATACATAGACTGGTGGTATGGACAGAGCATTAGACAGAGCAAAACTCCTAGACTTTGGCGATGCAGAAAAAATGAGGGGGTTCCGGAAAGGATGAGGGGGATAACGAGACGAGGCCAAAGTCCCAAAGTTTTAAAATCAACGACCAGACTTGCCGCCCTTGAATTGATGCTTGCTGAATTTTGGTGCAGCGGGAGGAGGACGAGCAGCGGCAGCAACCTATGGATGATTATTAAGTCCATTGCAGGATATCCATCACCAACATCAAATCAGTCAACGAACCTTCACCTTCTCCTGTTTCTCCTTCTTGGCAGCCTTGGTTTTAGCGATGGCTTCCGCACGTATAGCCGAACGAACTTCACTCGTCTCGGCCCGTTTAGCAGCAATGATGGCCAGACTAGCACCTGTAATGCCCCGCTGATATTTCACAGTTTTGCGCGTGCGCTTCTTAACGATTGTCTCCGTCACACCCTTCCTGTGCATACGGCGGTAGAGAGTAGTCCATGCTACTTTCCGTGGGTTCTTGCGGTTGTGGAATAAGCGTTCAGTCTTGGAGTCAGAAAAGCGGAAGACCTGCTCGAGCACGATAGTTTGGCACAAAGGTGATCTCGGATATGGGGAAGTCTTACTTTCGAATCTGAACGAACGAAGAGACGCCCCTTTGCTGGGTAAACGTTGAAGCCGGAGAAAGTGTCGATATCGAGCTTCTACTCAAGGAAGGTTATATCAGCTACACCTACGCAATCCATTTCAAACAAACATACCATCTACGTGGGTCAAGTCCAGACGGAAGAACAAACGTCAGCGATCGTTCCACCAAATATCAATTGAACCAGCATAGGTGCATCCAAACGACGAAATGTCCATCCAGGCTTAACCTTCAGTTTGACACGGGATTTTCGATGCCAAATGAGTCGTACTGGTCCTACAGACCTCTAGAAGGCATACTTGAGGCAGAGAACATCGTCAAAATCTCACATTTTAGCGCCGATGATGCAAAGGGCTTGTGGTCACGAGGCTGGGATCTTATGTAATCAACCTCTATTTTAGCGCTGGGCGCGGTGACTGGCACTGCGGTTTAAATCACCCACTATGGACACGGACATCACAATCTCCAGGTCTGGGGAATCTCACCATCCGTCATGCTTTTATTCATCAACATAGGAAGCACTCTGACTTCATATCAAAGTCTACAGAAGTTCTGCGAAAGAGCTTTCAAGTTACATGGGATCACAAATGTGCTAGGATGTGCTCGGCGCCAGAGACGTTCACTCCAGGGCGAGTCTCTACCTGTGAAACAAATACATTATTACAGATGACAAGCGAGACTGTCTGGCTTACCCCGACGCTCTTAACCACCAGGTCATCGATTATGAGAGCATACCTCCGCGTTCTCTCTCCACTCTTGAGCCCCAGCTTCGCACTCCATTCTGCGTTTGCGTCTGAAAGCATTAGGATCTAGGGACAAAGATTTCAACCAAAGCATTCAAACGAGGAAACCTGAGCCAATACCTTGTCATCGACACCTTCGACTCTCCCCCAGCCAGACATCCTAAACGGGCGTGCGTCAGCGAACACCCATATCAAGTTTCACCATCCAGCTTACACCCAAGCATCATTGAACGCGACACAGGCAACCACATCGACACCTGAAAATGTGACGTCATTATTCGAAATTCTGATGCCGCTAAGATTAACAAACCTTTCTCTTTTATCGCGTCATAACCCTTTACAAATCCAGGTAAGTGCGAGACATGGCAAGTTGGCTAAACCCATCAGTGATATCGAAGGTTGACGCGGAATCACAATCAGTTGGGGTTTCGGCTCCGAAGCGCGCATCGTCGCGATACGTACAGTAAAGGCACCTGGAACGGAAAAGAGGACGACCTTCTTCCCTTTCCAGTCATCAGTAGATAGTTTGACGGCTTTTTGGATGCAGAACAATGAGAGCGTGAATGAGTCAGTAAGTTGACGGAGCAGTCAGTCGCGACAAGGGGGTACACTCACGCACGCCACAGGCACGCTACAAGGAACAGTCGGTGATGCACACATTATCCGTCAGTATCTATTTCATTTCCTGGGTTTTTGACGGGACCAAAGTGTCGGCGCTTACCCCATCGGCAAGTTCTGGGCTGTATGGCACGTAGGAGAACGTTCCGTTGGGGATCGTATCTCCCGCTTTGATAGTGACTTGCTATAGTGGCGATGTTCAGGGGCGCCCATTTATCCAAAATATGCGCACACCTCTTCTTGCGTAGTAGCCATAGTAGTACTAGTAGTGATAAGGAAGCGCGTGCTTCAGACATCGGAACCAAATCGGGCAATCCTTCAGCTGATTTTTTAGCTAGGTTGACGATGTTCTATCTCATCGGCCTTGGTCTCCACGACGAGAAAGACATCACTGTGCGGGGACTGGAGGTATTTTTCCACCCAGCAGTTCGCTTGTGGTCTCTTAACTTCACATCACATCAGATCGTGAGGGCCGCCGCACGCGTTTATTTGGAATCATACACTAGTATACTCATGGTTGACAAGGATCGACTGGTAGGCGACGTGCTATCTCATGCCACTTCTCCGGAAGCCCAGATCGGGACAGTTTCTAGGAAGCATTCTATGGCCGAGAAGTAATCGTCGCAGATCGCGATATGGTCGAAACTGGTTCCGACAAAGTACTATCTGACGCTAGGGAAGGGGACGTTGCGCTTCTGGTAGTAGGGGACCCTTTTGGCGCAACTACTCACACCGACATCCTTCTGCGAGCACGCGATCTGGACATTCCGACTCATATAGTTCACAATACGAGCATTATGAGTGCAATAGGTGCCAGCGGACTGCAGCTATATAACTTTGGGCAAACGGTTTCGATGCCGTTCTGGACAGAAAAGTGGAAACCCGATAGTTGGTTAGAGAAAATACTCGAAAATGCTCGGATCGGACTGCATACACTGGTTTTACTGGACATTAAGGTAAAGGAGCAAAGCGAGGAGAATTTAGCAAGGTGAGAATTCCTTTGGAAATCGAACGTGTTATGCTAATTTTTTTGCGTTAGGGGCCGTAAGATATTCGAACCGCCCCGTTATATGTCTCCTGTTGTTGCACTTGAACAAATATTGGAGGCCGTATCAAACTCGCCATTGGTCTCCCAGACAAAGGGATTCGAGTCTCAACAATCTTATCACAAAGGACTCCCGAAAGTCCTCTCGCCATCGCATACTCTAGCTCTTACGCTTTCTAGAGTAGGCACCCCTCATCAAGGCATCAAAGCAGGGACGCTTTCCGATCTGGAAAAACTTTGCGAGGAAGACTTCGGACCGCCTTTGCATTCACTTGTCATTGTTGGGAGTCGACTGCACCCGGTAGAGGTTCGGTATGCAGGGAAGTGGGCCATCGAAGGAGGTAGTTGGGAACGGGTAGCAAGAGAAGTATACGGGGTGATCGACGAGTGAAGGAAAAAAGAAAAGAAAGGAAGCCTGCGCTGATTAGCTTAGGAGTACCATGTTTACAATATTACAATATCATTCGGACAACTCCGCTATTATGTAAGTTAATCGGACCCGTGACATCCTGACATCACTGCCAGTGCTTCTATCTAGAGGCTGTTTCGTGCTCAAACTCTGTTCTACTTGATCGCACTTCGGCTTCACTTTACACCTGTTGGGATTTTGCAATAGATGTCTACCGGCGCGACGGCACAGGCAGGTTTTTCGGGGCGTCATCAATGCTTGATATACTAACATATTGTCATGGAATCAATTATTCATCTCTACTCCCAGGATTCCGCTTGGAAGGACAAGGAACGTGGTGACGAGAACCGCTGGGCTCACGAGCGGGTACGCGTGTTGCTAATATTGCGAACTGTGATTATATTATACGATAATGGAAATATAAACAGGAACAACAGCAACTAGCAGAGCTCAGAGCTAGATCGGGGGCCGAAAACGAAGTCCTCAAAGAAAGCACCGAGACGGTTAAAAGAAGGGAGGAGATCGAAGGGGGATACGGAGGGCAAGAGGACCTCGAAGATCGGTATGCTACCACGAGTGGGGAGCACTAGTACCTCACTTCTCGGCCAACGGATTCAACTGTATACTATTTGTACAAAGCTCAACACGCGTTCACGCAGTACCTATTCTTGGGTGTGCAACGTGCGGCGATCCAAACCACCCCGGTTACCGGGTACATTCCGATTCGAGCATGTATTGGCGTAATGACCATATTGACTGCACTAAAGAAGTTCGACCATTACTTAGCCTTTGGAAATGATTCCTAGAAAGTGAACCAGAACAAACCTTGAAGCATAGAACTTCGTCCAAATTCCTCCGCATCGGGGTTCCGTCTGGACCTAACGGTCTATTTTGAGGATCATTAACTACCACACCCGTTGGGATGCCAGGCCCGCCGAAACTTTGCACCTGTCCCTGCCCTTCATTCTGCATACGCAGGTACGAAGCAGGTGGTGGGCCTAGATCTCGATTCGAAGGTGGTGGTGGTGGCAGATACTCTTCTTCTTTCGGTAGACGGGGCTTGGGGCTTGGAGAAGGAAGTGTCAGACTGTGATAACACGAACGATACTAATACGTTGCTCACTGAGTTTGATCACATTTGGGTCCTAGTGGGCAAAAGCCATTGAGGTATCGTTGGCACGCAATCCGTCGGACATGTTTCCGCGGACACGTTGGTCCAAGTTCGCAAAACCCACGTTTGTAGTCCGGGCACTCAACTTTCCGTTCCTTCGGGTGGTTGTACAAGCATTCATCACCGGATGCGCAATAACCATACGTGGCAAACCACCAACATTCAGGCATTCGACGTAAATTATACTCGTGCAAGAATTCACATGTATCACCCTTCTTACACAGGCCTCGAAGCCAATGTTTGCACACCTGAGATGTTCGGGTCGAAAACATATTGTCAGGTTCCATAGGAGCCGGAAATGGATTAGCCGCTTACTGTCGATAGTCGTTCACGCTCCCGAAAACTGGTGGGAGGAGGGGGCGGAGGCTGGAAATTCAGTGCAGATGGCGTGGTGTGCCTTAATGGACACTGGGAAGCTCCCAGTGGGCAGCCACCAGGCGTAAGATTTGCTTGACAAATCTGATCATCTGGCAAGAGAACATATTAGAAACCGAGAACAACATCTCAAAACTTCAACACTAACCTTTGTCAAGCTTGAGATTGAGCTCTTTCTTGATGTGATCCTCAACCGCAAAGTTGACCTGGTGAAAATCTGCAGCGATAACATCAAGGAGCTCTGGCGGTATCGAACGTGGCGCAGCAGACTTTATTGGGCGAGAACTAGATACAGTAGATGCCATATCTGCGTTTTGATAATTACTGGCTCCGCCAACAAGCTGGACTCTGTGAACGATTTAGGTGATTGATGTCAGCACTTGGAAGGCTGAAAAATCGCGAAAGAGGTTTCTCACGATCAAGTGACATGACAAATTGCACCGCACACAAGACCCCAGAAATCCCCCGTGTCGAACTGGCCGAAAATTTGTTGTTAGCCATCAAGGCTTTTACATTCGGTGGCCCTGAGGCTCTCTGCACTCTAATGCATGGCGAGTGCGTTGCACCAAGCCTAGTGCCATGCCCACTGCCGAGGGTCATTAATCAGCTCGTTCTCAGTCATAGGACCAATTTTAGCTCATACCCCTGCAGAACCGTAATCGATTGCGATGGAGTCAAATCAGTTCCTGCCCAGCCCTTCCGTTGGAGCGACACCCGGGTCCGCTCCCCGTCGCCCAAGCCCAACGCCGCTTCAGCGGGACAATCCTTCTGAAGTCCCTGGAAGCGATATATACCGTGGTTCACTCCCCCAACTCCCAGAAGCGCTTCACCCGATGGTACGCGTCCGTTCGCCTGGCACAGCCTCGAGCGGGCATTCGTCCTCGTCCTCGACATCATCCGCGTCCACCAGATTGGTGGCAAGAGCCATCGCCGCCGTTGTGGAGCTTGCGATCTCTCGTTGGGCCCGATCATCTGACTCCACGTCTAGCTCATCCTCTACCACTTCTTCTACTCCCTCAGCCACCACGCGGAGGCCTCCTAGACGACGTCGTCGTTCCAGCACCGTTGCTTCTACCGTTAACATCGATCCAACACAGCGCGCACTCGCACGCCAAGCCCTTGAGAACGCTCGACGGACCCCACGAGAATTCAGCCTTCTTCTACCAACTGCTTCCGGAGTACCGTCTCAGGATGTTCCTGGTGGCCATTCGGCGCCTCAGGAAGGCTCTGCTTCTCGGCTGATTCAAACGACTTCGCTGCCCCTTATCTTGTCCAGTGTCGAGCAGGCTCTCCGTGACGCTGATAGACTTCACCGTGAACAACACAAGTCCCTTCGACCGAATTCTCGCTTCCATCGTGCCAAGCCCATACGTGCAAACATCATGTCAACAGCCACTCTGGGCTCTCCGGTCCACAACGCCGAAACTCCCCGTGCACCTTCCCCTCAATACGAGGGCAAGGCATCTGAAGGTGGGATTACGCTGGAAGTTGGTTCACGAGGCCCAACGCCTCCTGTAACCGTGGCCCCAACTACGGCGGTGCTATCTGGCTCAACGGATCCAGCGAAGAGTGTGGGACGTAATGCTCAAAAACCCTTGTCGAAACACCACCATTCTAAGCCACTCATTCGTGCGAGCATGGGGACGGATAACCTGTTGAGCACGAATCGAGGCATTCGAAAAATTGCCGTGCAGGCTACCAATGGGAATCGTTCCGGTGGCACTCCACATGTACAACCAGAAGATGACTCAACTATTTTAAGTGATTTATGGCAGAAAGCATGGTGGCTCGATGTGGCCTCTCCTACTTGGGAGGATATGCGTATGCTTGGCACAGTATGTCACTCCCCTGGACTTTGGAATTCGTCCTGATCTTCCATTCGGCAGCTGCTTCATCTGCACCCACTTACATTAGAGGATATTTTGCACCAAGATCCTCGAGAAAAAGTAGAGATCTTCCCTCGCTTGGGTTATTATTTCGTCGTTATTCGTTCCGTGGATTTGAATAAGTATCTGGCTGAGAGGGATCGTGAACAGTTACCAGGAGATGATGGACAATCTCAAAACGAGGAGGAAACCCTTAATGTGACGAATGTTTATATCACTGTCTTTAGAGAAGGAATTTGTTCGGTGAGTAGATCAAGTCATATATGCTGACAATCTCACTCTTGAGTATCTCGCCAGTTCCATTTTTCGGATTTGTCGGAACATGTCAATAGAGTTAGGAATAAATTTTTACAGATGAATAACGATACCACAGTCATGACATCAGGTGCATTTACCGATTACATTCCTTTGTATGCTTGGGCATTACTGAGATGCAACCAATTCTGTAGACCATATCGCGCATGGCTTGATGGATTCCATTGTTGATGCTTTCATTCCTGTCATCAAGCGCATCGGCTCTGAGGTGGAAAATGTCGATAGGCTTGTCGCCGGAGTGCAAGATGAGGATCAAATGCTTCGTGACTGGCAAACTGCACTTCAACATGCCGAGGTTACACAACAAGTTGCAACTCCGCCTCGTGGGGTTGAGCCTGAAGCGATTGATGTCTTTCATCTTAACGAGAAAAGGAAAGAGTCACTTCCAACACCACCCACTTCTCAACCCCGTCATCGCACTTGGAATCGTGCATGGCGGCGTTCATCCTCACTAATGCAATATCTGTTTCGCCATATCAGCCGTTACTGCGCCTCTTTGGGGACCGCTTGTGCGCACAGGATCAAGAAACTTTGGCGGAGGCTTGTCTCTGCACGCATGACTGGTCGGCCAAAGTGGCGTGCTGTCAAGTTGGCAAGAACAAAGACGCTCACAAGGATGTCTCAGACTAGGCGGACCGTGACATTACTCGCAAGGCTTCTTGCTCCCAAGAATGAGGCACTTGGAATACTGAGGAAAAGGCTGACGGGTGTCGCTGACTTAGGAGCGCACTTAGACGACGTCCAAGGTGAGCTTACTGACTGCTGAGTCAATGTCCGCGCAGGCTGACGAGTCACTAATACGCAGACCATCTCTTGACAATGCAACAGTCTTTGGTGTATTACGAAAGAGTGTTGGCCCACTCTCAGCCAACATACCTCTCGGGACTTCGAGTGAACCTTGCTCAGGCTACGAATCGAGCAGATTCGACGCTCTGGAAGCTTAGTGTTCTCCTAACGGCCATTTACTGCATGCAGGTAGTCATCGGTGCGTTTCCCTCCTGATTTTTGCTTGTATGGGTGATTGAACGACTGTTTACACTAGGTATCTTCAGCATGAATGTTCATGTACCCCATAACCATCGTCCTAAAGATGACCCGTTGGGTGCACCAGTTGGACATTTCTATTTGTTTGGGGTCGTGCTCAGTGTAAATGTTCTGGCGGCAATTGGGGTGTTTTGCGCCACTTGGTGGTGGTGGAAGCAAGCGAAGCGCAAGAGAGGACGACGGCTGCTGTAGTTTGTTGCCTTTATGAGCTTGTCCGTCTGAGTCAGCTGCGTCCGATTTTTCCCGCAATATATTCCGTTATTCTCCTGTCGCTGCAGCTTCACAGAGCGCATTGGGCTCTCCGGGTCTAAGATCTTGCAAAGGAATGAAGAAAGTTGGACGTCGTCAAGAGTCCCTTTGGTGAATGGGGATGGTACCAGAACATGAAGAATGTAGGCAGCTCTCTATTGGAAGGTAGACGCATTCCGTCCTAGTTTCAACCTCGAAGAGGAGGATCAGGGCCCTGATAGGGACGACAGCCGCTGTTGATGTCTCTCACATGCCTCCTAATTTCTAACGTACGCCGTGGCCTCGATCCTCGCTCTGCATGGTCCACACATGACAGTACGTTGTCGCGCATGGACATTTATATCTTGAATGACTGTTATTTCCTTTCTTGTAGTCTTGCTACGTTGATGGACACGGTCGTGGATGGCTTAAAAGCCACTTCGCGCGATTTTCCTCTCCTCACATCTGGAACTGAGGTGAGATAACCTTTGTCTCTTTGGGATGTACTTTGTATGTATTTTCCTAGTGCTATACTTCTTATTCACCGCGATTGATGCGTCTTATGTACATACTGTGTCTAACACTGGCAGGTGAATCTCTACTTTATGTAAGTAGCAGGAGCCTACAGCGAATCCACAAACGTGGATTCGCCTCGCGACTGCATTTGATGTTGGAGAACACAACGATCGGTTCCGTCATCCGACTGTCAATAACATGGTTATTGACATTATTGACAGCGATGAACATTTCAGGTATTGGACGATGTTTTGGGGTTCAACTGATCCGGCGACGGAGATTTTGAATTGAATCGAAAATGAATTGAATTCATTTGTGCTCACCGGCAACTCCCGGATGTCGTGGGAATGAACTAATAGTCATCGTGTGTAAAGAGAGAGAATTTTTTCACCCCCTCTCCCTTGTACGAGTCTGAGGTGAAATTTTCCCTTTATCATTTCAATAATTTCTCTATATAAATGTTACTCTGCATCACTCTGCACTGCAGAGTGACTCTTCCGTGGCAAGATCTCGACGCTGAAATTAGTGTATGCTATGTTCTTTCCTCTTTTATCCTTTACGTATGTCTGCTTACTCGCTCCTCTTCATTACTTTGTTATCTTCACTCTAGTATGTATTCAGACTCCTTCCCAGTCGCTCACATGATTTCTCCGAGGCAACGTAAGTTGCGGCTAAACCTCGGAGAAATCATGTGAGCGACTGGTATGTATTTACGTATTGAACGCGCCATAGCCCTTTATATTTTAAGATTTGATACTTCGGCTACCACATATCCATATCAATGGCATTTTGATCGGTCTACCTTCTGAGATTGCGCTAGGAGAAAGGGGTCGCCTTACATAAAGAAGCGTTTGTGTGTTGTACAAATGTGACAAGTTGCATGTTCAAGCGTGACGCAACATTTTTTTTTTCCATTTCTTAGCAGTAGCTTTCGCGAATCGCGATACAGTCATTTACGCCGGCCCCGGTCCTTGCTCTCTAGCCGTTGTCCGGAAACCTTTCTTCGTCATGCAAGTTCCCACTCCAGGTGTGTAGGATCAGCTTGGCTAGCAGGGCCATATTTTTTTCGATTCGGCAGCGCGATGTCTTGCTGGAATTTGTCGTTTCAGGGCATTTCTCACTTCTCTCAGAGAGGTTTGCGGGAGGTCGGGGTTCATTACTTTGCGGACAAATCGGTATAGTCTTTTTCGATCCCCTGTTATCATTCTTTGTTTGAGTGATCGGTGCTGGTGACGCGACATTCTGCTTGTGGACCAACGATACCCCTAGGCAGATTACCAGCCTCTATTCGATACCGCGCCATTCTTCGATGACCAGCACAAGGGGTGTTGTACCTATGACGACGTGCTGGTATGCATATCAGTTATTGGTATTGCTCCACGGGGCACCTGTTTTACTCGCTACAATGTTCCACGTGAGCAGTGCGTACCATGCGCTACATATTACTTTTGTCTAATCTTTCTACACCGCTAGCTACTTATACCCCGCGCGCGGTTACAATGTCATGATATCTTGTCCCCCCTCACGTTCGACTCGCCGAGAGCCACATAACAAGCGGAAATGGGCCTGACGGCACACCCAATATCAGACCCAACTTACGGATATATTCCTTCCGCAGTCGCCCAAGGCCTCACCCAGCACATGCAAACATACACAAAGTGTCACAGCAGCACTTCCCCATATCCTTGATTCTCCGGCTGGTGCGAGGTTATTCTAAAGACAGGATGACATCTGTCTTCTCCCCCGCTGTAGTGGTCACTCGGAAGGGCCCTCCGATTGTCGACGTAAGCAGTTCCAAAGCATCGGAAGCTTCTCCCAGAAACCCCAGCATCTAAGAGTATTCTCTATTCCTTCTCAGCTGTACCCGGAAAAGCAGGAAATTTTTTAATGAAATGGGGAAAAAGAAATTCCCACGAATTGTGCAAGCAAGGCAACAAATTGTTCTCGCCTCAAAGTTGTGATTGCAAAGAAAACCTAGGCAGAAGGCCTGTTTCATCTCGCGAAGCCTTTCCTACTGGGGGGTGATGCTATTATAATAGCCAGTCGAGCGCGTACCCAGGCTCGTAATCGAGGACTGAGGGCATCACAAGCTGTGCTCTTATATAGCGCAGCGTTACTATTGGTCAAGCCCAAGCCGGCAATAAACTTTTGATCAATAAGGTTAAGGGTATTGGCGGTAATCGCATCATGGAAAGTAGAACCCATCACATAAAATATTAACGTTACCGTTGAGATTCCCCCGAAGTTCCAGAAATCCCCATTGTTGAGCTGGCTGGGGATTTGTCGTTAGCCATCAAGGCCTTTACATTCTTTGGCCCTGTGGTGCTCTGATTTATGGCGAGTGCATTGCAAGCCTAGTGTCGTACCCAGGGGAATCAATCAGCGCGTTTCTCAACCAGAGGACTAATTCTAGCTCATACCCATAATGGAATCTAATCAGTCTCTGACTAGTCCTTTCGTTGGAGCGACACCCAGGTTTTCCCGTGTCCCTGGTCCGACGCCGCTTCAGCGGGCCAGTCCTTCTGAAAACCCTGAAAGCGATATATACCGTGGCTCAACCCCCCAACTCCCAGAGGCGCCCCGTCCGATCGTACGCGTTAGTTCGCCTGACACAGCCTCGAGCAGGCATTCATCCCCTTCGACACCATCCGCGTCCATCAGATTAGTCGCAAGAGCCATCGCTGCCATAGTGGAGCTTGCAATTCCTCGCTGGGCTCGACCATCTGCCTCCACAACTAGCTCATCCTCTACCACTTCTTCTGCTCCCCCCGCCGCCACGTGGAAATCTTCCAGACATCGTCGATGTCCCAACATCGTTACCTCTACTGTTAACACCGATTCAGCACAGCGCGCACTCGCTCGCCAAGCCCTTGAAAACGTTCGACGGATCCCACGGGAATTCAGTCTGCTCCTGCCAAATGCTTCCGAAGCCCGGTCTCAAAACATACCTTCTTCATTCCCTGGTGGCCGTCCAGTGCCCCAGCAAGACTCTACTTCTCGGCTGATTCAAACGACCTCGCTACCCCTTATTTTGTCCAGTATCGAGCAGGCTCTCCGTGGTACTAATAGACTTCGCCATGAGCAGCACAAGTCCCTTAGAATGAATTCTTGCCTCCATCGCGCCAAGCCTGCACCTGCAAATTTCCTATCGGCAGCTGTTGTGCACCCCCCCGCCGAATCTTCCCACGCACGATGTGAAGAGAAGGCATTTGAAGGCGGAACTACAACTACGTCGCCACGGGTCGGTTCACGAAGCTCAGTGCCCCTGGTAACCGTGGCCCTGACTAAGTCGATGTCGCCCGCGTCAATGGACTCAGTGCCCGAGATGAAGAGCAAAGGAGGTCACGCTGAAAAGCCCTCGTCGAAACATCATCATTCTAGGCCCCTCATTCGTGCGGGCATCGGGACGGGTAATTTTTCGAACACGAATCTGGGCACTCGAAAACCTACCACGCAGGCTACTACAGGGAATCGCTCCAGCGGCACTCCACATCTACAACCAGAAGTTGACTCGACTATTTTGGGTAATTTATGGCAGAAAGCATGGTGGCTTGATGTGGCCTCTCCTACTTGGGAAGATATGCGTATGCTTGGCACAGTACGTTGACTTACGTGAAGAATCCCGGCCGTCGTAGTGACCTTCCATTCTGCAGCTGCTTCATCTGCACCCACGTACATTAGAAGATATTTTGCAGCAAAACCCACGGGAAAAAGTGGAGATCTTCCCTCGCTTGGGTTATTATTTCGTTGTTATTCGTTCCATCGATTTGAATAAGTATCTAGCTGAGAGGGATCGTGAACAATTAGGGGATGATGGACGACCTCAAAACGAGGAGGATATCCCTAATGTGACAAACGTTTATATCACTGTCTTTAGAGAAGGAATTTGTTCGGTGAGTAGACCAAGTCATATGCACCGACATTCTCACTAATGAGCATCTCGCCAGTTCCATTTTTCGGATTTGTCGGAACATGTCAATAGAGTTAGGAACAAAATTTTACAGATGAATAACGACACCACAATCATGACATCAGGTGCATTTGCCAATAACATCCCTTTGTATGCTCAAGATGCAACCAATTCTATAGACCACATCACGCATGGCTTGATGGATTCCATTGTTGATGCTTTTATCCCTGTTATCAAGCGCATCGGTTATGAGGTGGAAAATGTCGATAGGCTTGTTACCGGAATGCAAGATGAGAATCTAGTGCTCCGTGACTGGGAAACTACACTTCAGCACGCCGAAGCTGCCCGGCAACGTGAGGCCGAGCCTGAAGCGATTGAGGTCATTGTTGATCTCAACGAGAAAAGGAAGGAGTCACTCCCGATATCGCCCACGTCTCAACCCCGTCGTAGCGCTTGGAATCATACATACCAGCGTTCATGCTCGACACTGCAATATCTGTTTCGCCCTATCAGCTGCTACCTCTCGTCCTTCGGGTCC